GTAAGGATTAGTGTTCTGAATATTGACTGTCACTTGGTAGGTGTTTTTTCCTTAATATAAGGTTTAGTAGGTGACTATTATTAGTCTTTTTTATTGTCTTAAGGTTTGTGTTTTCAGTTTTCTCAAATTTTCATATGATTTGCTGCTAATAGAAGTATTTCAACTTAATGGTTTATAGCCCATTCCCCATTTAAATTAGTTAATTGATTTTTAAAAGTATAAACCTGTTTGGAAGGAAAAGCTTTGTATTGATATATTCGTATTACTTTAACATATTTTGCTCAAGTTCCTTTTCCATTGAGTTTTTTATTTTCTGAGATATGGTCTCACTGAGTTATCCAGGCTTTCAGATTTGTGATTTTTCTGCTTCAGCCTCCCAATTAAGTTGCTTTTTAAATTAATTTATTTATTTTTGCATTACTCCAGATTGAGCCTAGGGCTTCATACATGCTCATACATGGTAGGCAGGTGCTGTACTGCTGAGTTACAATCCAACCGATAAATTGCCTTTTTTTTTTTTTTTTTTACATCAGGTATTGAACTCAGGATCCCTTAACCATTGAATCACATCCCCAATCCTTTTTATTTATATATTTTTTTGACGGTCCAAGTTGCTTAGGGCCCTGTAAGTTGCTGAGGCTGGTCTTGAACTTGCAAACCTCCTGCCTCAGCCTTCCCAGCTTCTGGGAATAAAGGTGTACACCACTGCTCCCTGCCAAAAATTGCTTTTTTAAATGGCCATGATTTAGTACAATATTTGCTTTATTTAAAGCTTTTTATTTTGATATATTTTCAAACTTAAAAAAAAATTGAAAGAATAGTAAACTTAAAGAAAAGTTGAAAGAATAGCTTATACAAAGAAAACCCATGTATTCCTTACCTATTGTCTGTTTTCAAAAGAACAAAGATTTGTGTATGTGTGTGTGGGGGGGTAATATGGAATTGAATCCAGGACCTCCAGTTTGCTAGGCAAACACGTTAATGACCTACACTTTGTAGCCTTTTTAAAATTTTTTGAGACGTAGTCTCGCTAAGTTGCTAGCCTCAAATGTGGATCCTCCTGCTTCAACCAGCAAAGTAGCTGGTCTGTGCCTCTAGTAGAACTGTTATAATCAAAGCTTCATCCCAGGGTTTCATAAACTGACTTCCAGACCACTCATGTATAATCGAATCAAGCCTTTATTGAAGCACACCGGTGGCGGCTGACCAGAACATAAAGCTGTTCCCCTGATCAGCCCCGAACATTTGCAAGGGCACTCCTTATAAGCCTGAAAACCGCAAAAGGGATGTTTGGGGGCTGGGGGTCTAGTCAATGCAAGCAAGCCAGGTTACAGAAGCGGGACAGTGCAGTCAAGCGTAGGGAAGCCTAACCAATCACAGTTATCACAGTCACCCCAGTTACAGAAACAGAGCCCCATTACTCTAGTTACAGAAACAATACCCCATTAGGTAGTTCTGGGTTCTTAAAGGTTTCTATAGCAAAAGGAAAAGAACATCTTGCCCTAGTCATGACTCTTTTGCTTCGCATGGTTGTTTTACAGGATGAAGTCATAAAACAAAATGGAGTCACATTTGCTTCTACTACCACAGTATAAAGACTTTCTATTACATAACTGTAGTTCATTAATTAAAACTAGAAAAAATAATGGTTATATGATAATATTATCTAATTTGTATTTATATTTTGCCTATTGTCCCATTAATGTCTTTTATTGTTTTGTGGGTTTTTTCCCTACACCAAAATACAATCCAAGATCATACTTGGTTGTTTTGTCTTTTTAGTCTCCTTTAATCTGTACTGGTTGCTCAGCTTTTCCTTGTTTTTCATGATTTTGACACTTGAAGATTACAACATAGTTTTTATATTTTAAATCCCTACATTTGGATTTTTCTGCATTTCCCTTTCCCCCAGCGCATGCATATATATATAATTTTTAAGAATTTACTCTGAAGTTATATAAATATTCTTTTCCTTATCAAGCTTTCATCGGTCATCTTTACTATATGATCTTGCTAGAAATGCTTAGCTTGAATTTAATAGTGAAGAAATACAAAATAAATCTAGATTACAGGAAATTTTATGAATTAACTGGTCTGAGCCTTTCAAAAATGTCAGCGTCTGTTTGCAGAAGATCAAAAAAACTCCACCAAAAAACTGCTAGAGCTAATAAACAAATTTGGCAAGGTAGTAGGCAACATATTTCCTATATAGCAACAATGAATCTGCTAAAAAATAAATCAAGAAACCATTTCATTGATAATAGCCTCAAAACAAAAACAAAACAGACAAACAAACAAACAAAAAAACCCTAGGAATGAATCTAACCAAGGAGGTGAAAGACTTCTATAGTGAAAACTATAAAATCCTGAAGAAAGAAATTGAAGACCTCAGAAGATAGAAAGACCTCCCATGTTCATGGATAGACAGAATTAATATTATTAAAATGACCATACTACCAAAAGCAACATACAGATTCAATGTAGTCCCCATCAAAATATCAATGACATTCTTCACAGAACTAGAAAACAATCCTGAAATTAATTTGGAAGAATACCCAGAATAGATAAAGCAATTCTAAGCCAAAATAGCAATACTAGAGGCATCGTAATACCAGACTTCAAATTATATTTCAGGGCTATGGTAATAAAAACTGCATGAACTGGCATAAAAACAGACATATAGACCAGTGGTAAAGAATAGAAGACACAGAGATAAAAACCCTACACATCTAAAGTCATCTGATCTGTTGAGAAAGGTGCTAAAAACACTTTGGAGAAAAGACAACCCTTTTAACCCTTTTAACAAATGGTGCTGGGAAAACTGGTTATCCATATGTAGAAGAATGAAACGTGACCCCTATCTCTCATCCTGCACAAAAGTCAACTCAAAATGGATCAAAGAAAGTGTAGGGTCAACACTGCAGCATATATGCACAGTCAACAACTTTCTCAAGAATCCCTAAAGCTCAGGAAATAATGCCAAGAGTTAATAAATGGGATGGCATCCAATTAAATAGCTTCGGCACAGCAAAGGAAACAATTAAGAATGTGAAGAGAAAGCCTACAGAATGGAAGAAAATCTAGCTACTCTTCTGGCAGAGGATTAATATCTAGAACATATGAAGAACTCAATTTTTTTTCACCAAAAAATTAAATAACCCAATTAATGAATGGGCAAATGAATTAAACACACACTTTTCAAAAGAAAAAATACAAATGTCCAACAAATATATGAGAAAATGTTGAACATCATTAGCAATTAGGGAATTGCAAATCAAAACTTTAGAGATTTCATCTCACACCTATCAGAATGGCAGTCATTAAGAATTCAAATAATAATAAATGTTGGAGAAAAAAATGTTGAAAAAAAAATCCAACTTTACACTATAGGTTGGATTGAAATTGAGTATAACCACTATTGGAAATTAGTTCAGAGATTCCTCAAAAGACTACGCGTGGAACCACCACATGACCTAGTTTTCCTACTCCTCAATATTTATCCTGAAGAATTAAAGCGGTCATACTACAGTGATACATGCTTACCCATGTTTATAGCAGCACAATTCATGATAGCCAAACTATGTAACCAGCCTGGGTATTCATCAGTGGATAATGGATAAAGAAAATGTGGTGTATATATATAGATAATAGAGTTTTATTTAGCCATAAAGAAAAATGAAATTATGTCATTTGCAGGAAAATGAATGGAACTGGAGACCATTATGTTAAGCATAATAAGTCAAACTCAGAAGATCAGGGGACATATGTTTTCTTTCGTATGTGGAAGCTAGAGAGGAAAAAGAAAAAGAAAGGTGATCTCATGAAGATAAAAAGGGGCATCAGTAGGGAAAAAAGATAGGGGGTGGGAGGTAGGGAAGAAGTGGGGGAAGTGCTGAGGAGTGAGTGATTCCAAATAACATTGTTATATTGTGTGCATGTATGGACATGTAACAATTTCATTGTATATACAAGTATAATGTACCAATAAAAAAGGTGAAAGAGAAAAAAAAAAATAAAAACATCTGTCAAAGAAAAGATGATTATAATTTAAATGAGTCTAAAGAGAACAAAGTGAATGTATGAACCTTGATTAGACCCTAATTAAAAGAAAATAAAAATCCAAGAACCGCTTGTTTTTGGTTTTGGTACCAGGGATTGAACTCAGGGCACATCTCCAGCCCTACTTTTATTTAGAGACAGGGTCTTACTGAGTTGCTTAGTGCCTCATCTTTGCTGAGGCTGGCTTTGAACTTGCAGTCCTCCTGCCTCAACCTCCTGAGCCTCTGGGATTACAGGCGTGCACCACTGCGCCCAGCCATCTAAGAACATCTTGGGGGAGCAGTTTGAAAAATTTTAATATAGACTTTATTAAATAATATTTTATTAGTATTAAATTTCATTTTAAAATATTTTTTTAGTTGTAGATGGACACAGTATTTTTATTTATTTATTTTTTGTAGTGCTGAGATTTGAACCCAGTGCCTCACGCATGCAAGGCAAGCGATATACCACTGAGCTACAACCAGTCCCAATATTAAATTTCTTGTGTGTGCTAATTTTACTATGGTTATGTAGTTAAATGTCCTTTTTTACAAAGAGGCATACTGATTTTTGAGGTGTAATGCCGGTAACTAATTTTCAAATGATTCTGCCAAAAAAATTCTGTCAGTGCAGAGAGAAATAAAGTAAATGTAGCAAAGTGAAGATTTACTTTAGGTAAAGATTATATGGATATTCATTACATTCTTTCAAAATTTTGGGATGTTTGAAATCGCAAACTAAAAATATTCAAAGAAAATCAACTAGTAAGTACAGAATAATACTGAGAGAATGCAGTGTAAAAATATGAACTTAAAAATTCTTTAAAAATTGGTTCATGGCAATGTGAAGAGTGGCATGATTAAATATGCAAAATCATGTGACCATTTAGATTGAGCTCAATGAAAAAAATATTGATGGAGACCACTGTACTAAACTTTTTTTTTTTTTTTTTTTTTTAGTATAGACTATGGTCGAAGAAAAAGAAATGCTTTTAGGATTCAGGTAGAAAAAGGTGAGTCTTTTCTTGTTAGAGCTAAATCAATAGTTATTAGAACTGTTTTGGCTCATGGCATTTTGTTTTTTCTTTCAGTATTCAGCATAATCAGTAATGAGAAAGAAGTGAAGAATCTGGCAGAATTAGAAGATGAACATCTGGCAAAAAGAGCAAGGCAAGGTGAAGAGGATAATGAGTATGTATTATAAAATGGAGGATTTTTTTCCCCTTGAATTGTCATATCCATACTTGTAAAACTTTTATTGGCACTTCATTGCCAGTCTGGCCCTGCATAATACTTAACTTATCTCTCCATACCTTATCTTCTAGTTTTATTGGATGCTTACAGCTCCCCAAAGACTTCACATATCTTTTTTGTGCTTTTTTAGGGTGATTTTCTGTGTGGTATTCATTTTCCTTTTATAAGTTCCTACTCAGCTTGAAGAGTCAGTTGAAGCTAGGTGCAATGGTACACAACTGTAATCCCAGCTATTCTGAAGGTTGAGAAGGAGGATCACAAGTTTGAGGCTAGCCATGGCAATTTGTCAAGTCTGTTTTATAATCTTTATAAGGGAGACTGGGGATGTAGCTTTGTGGTAGAGCACTTGCCTAATATATGTGAAATCCTGGCTTTGATCCCCAGTATTGTAAAAAAGGAGGGGGGAGGGGAGCGGTTGAAACGATTTTTTGTTTCTTTTTTTGGGGGGGGGGTGGCACAGGGATTGAACTCAGGGGCACTTGACCACTGAGCCACATTCCCAGCCCTATTTTGTATTTTTATTTAGAGACAGAGAGTTGCTTAGCGCCTCGCTTTTGCTGGCTTGGAACTCATGATTCTCCTGCTCAGCCTCCCAGGCTGCTGGGATTATAGGTGTGTGCCACCATACCCAGCAAGATGTTCTTAAAACAATCTTTTTTGGGAGGGTTCTAGAGATTGAACACAGGGGTACTTTATCACTGATCTACACCCATAGCCCTTTTTATTTATTTTTTAAATTCTGTGATAGGGTCTTATTAAGTTGCCCAGGCTATCCTTGTGATTTTTCTGTCTTGGCCTCCCAAGTTTCTGGGATTACAGTTGTGTGCCACCATGCCTGGCATTCTTAAACACTCTTTAATGTTTCCTTATCTCCTGGTTATAGATACTTATTATAATCATTAGTATATCGTATTGCATTCAAATTATTTGAGTACCTTTTAGCATTATCAACAGAGCTGTCTTTTGTTACTTTTGCTTTTCTCTGCCCAAATATAATGCCAGATATATTAAAAGTTGTCAGTTAATTTTATCGCTTAAGAAATAATGTCAAGGCCATGCATGTGGGCATGCTTATGATTCCAGTGACTTAGAAGGCAGAAGTAGGAGGATTGCCTAGTTCAAGGTCAACCTGGGCAGTTTAGCCAGACCCTGTCTCAAAATAAAGTAAGAAAAGGTCTGGGGATGTTGCCCAATTTTTTTTTGTTGTTGTTGTTTGTTTGTTTGTTTTGTATTTTTTTGGGTACCTGGGATTGAACTTAGGGGCACTTGATCACTGAGCCACATCCCCAGCCTTATTTTGTATTTTATTTAGAGACAGGGTCTCACTGAGTTGCTTAGATCCTGGCTTTTACAATCCTCCTGCCTCAGCTTCCCATGCTGTTGGGATTATAGATGTGCACCATCATGCTCAGCTTGTTGCTCAGTTTTAGTGTGGTCCCTGAGTTCAAACCCCTTTAATGCAATCAATCAATAAATAAATAAAAAGAAGGAAGAAATAATGTTGAGCGCTTTAAAGTAATTTAAGTTATCATTGAGATAGAATAAGTTGTATATTTTAAAAGTGTTTGTTTTGTTTTGACATATGTTTGTCTCACTAAACCATCACCATAAGCAAGATGCCAAAATTGCCCATCAACTTCAAAAGTTTTCTGGCTCCTCATTTATAATTCACTTTTCCTTCCATTCCTGTTTCCAAGCAGCCACTGATTTGTTTCCTGTCTGTCATGATATTAATTGGAAACTGTTCTGTTGGTCTCGGTTTTATGAAAAAGAACTATGAAAATTATTTTCTTGAATGTTAGAATTCATCTAGGCTTAGAGTTTTCCTTTTATGAAGAATTTTTATAAATTTTAATAGATATGGTTTCTCAAATCTTTTTCTTCTTTTTTTTATTAAATTTTTTTTTTCTTAGTTGTGTTTGGACACAATACCTTTATTTTACTTATTTATTTTTATGTGGTGTTAAGGATCAAACCCAGTGCCTCGCACGTGCTAGGTGAATGCCCTATTGCTGAGCCACAACCCCAGACCCCTTTTCCTCTTAAATGTCAATTTTGGTGACTTTTTTTCATCACCACTAATAATTAGAGAAATGCAGATCAAAACCACTCTAATCACTCACTCTAGTCAGAATGGCAGCTATTATGCATACAAACAACAATAAGTGTTGGTGAGGATGTGCGGAAAAAGGTACACTCATACACTGATGGTGGGACTGCAAATTGGTACAGCCAATATGGAAAGCATTATGGAGTTTTCTTGGAAAATTGGGAATGGAACCACCATTTGACCCAACTATCCCCCTCCTCGGTCTATTCCCAAAGGACTTAAAAACAACATACTACAGGGACACAGCCACATCAGTGTTTATAGCAGCACAATTCACAATAGCTAAACTGTGGGACCAACCTAAATGTCCTTCAACAGATGATAGATTAAAATGTGGTATATATATATATATATATATATATATATACACACACACACACATACATACACACACACACAATGGAATATTACTCAGCAATAAAAGAGAATAAAATCATGGCATTTGCAGGTAAATGGATGGAGTTAGAGAAGATAATGCTAAGTGAAGTTAGCCAATCCCCAAAAACCAAATGCTGAATGTTTTTTCTGATATAAGGAGGCTGATTCATAGTGGGATGGGGAGGGGGAGCATGGGAGACAACTCTAGATGGGGCAGAGAGGTTGGAGGGAAAGGGAGGTGGTGGGGGATTAGAAATGATGGTGGAATGTGATGGACATTATTACCCAAAGTACAGGTATGAAGACACGAATTGGTGTGAGTATACTATGTATACAACCAGAGATATGAAAAATTGTGCTCTATATATGTGATAAGAATTGTAATGCATTCTGCTGTCATATAAATTTTAAAAAATTTACATTAAAAAAATTAAAAAAAATTTTTTTCTTAGTTGTGGTTGGACACAATACCTTTATTTTATTTATTTATTTTTATGTGGTGCTAAGGATCAAACCCAGTGCCTCGCATGTGCTTTCTGAGTGCTCTACTGCTGAGCCACAACCCCAGCCCCCTTTTTCTTCTTAAATGTCAATTTTGGTGATTTTTTTTTTTTTTTTTTTTTGAGTGGTATTGGGAATTGAACCCAGAAATGTTCTACCACTGAGCTATATCCCCAGGCCTTTTTATTTTTTATTGTGAGACGGGGTCTCACTAAATTGCTGAGGCTAACCTAACACTTGCAGTCCTCTCATCTCAACCTCCCAAGTAGCTGGGATAATGGCAGGCACTACCATACCCTGTAAGTTGTGTTTTTAAATAAATTTGTCCTTTCATCTGAAGTGTAGAATTTATTGGTATAATGCTTTGCAGTTTATTCTTATTCTCTCTCTTTTCTTGGTGCTGGAAATACTACCTACAACCTTGTGCATGCTAGGCAAACACTTTACCACTCAGCCTTATTTTTTTGGTACCAGGAATTGAACCCAGATGCACTCAACCACTGAGCCACATTCCCAGCCCTTTTTTGTATTTATTTAAGGACAGGATTTCATTGAGTTGATTAGGGCCTTGCCAAGTTGCTGAGGCTGGCTCTGAACTCCTTTGGTACTAGGGACTGAATCCAGGGGCGCTTTACCACTGGAGTACATCCCCAGTCCTTTTTGTTTTTATTAGGGTCTCTCTAAGTTGCTGAGGGTCTTCCTGAGTTACTGAGCTTGGCTTTAAACTTGAGATCCTCACATTTCAGCCTTCATAGTCACTGGAATTACAGATGTGGCCACCATGCCAAGTAGGAATAGTCTTTTTGTTAATTTAAATAGCATCTAGAGAAACCATGCTGAGGAGGCTGGGGTTGTGGCTCAGCAATAGAGCACTTGCCTCCCACGTGCAGGGCCTGGATTCCATCCTCAGCACCACATAAAAATAAACAAAATAGAGGTATTGTGTCCAACTACAACTAAAAAAAAAATTAAAAGAAAGAAAGAAAGAGAGAGAGAGAGAAAGAAAGAAAGAAAGGAAAGAAAGAAAGAAAGAAGAAAGAAAGAAACCAACCATTCTGGGGTTGTAGCTCAATGGTAGAGCGCTTGCCTAGCATATGTGAGGCACTGGGTTCGATCCTCAGCACCACATTAAAATAAATGAATAAAATAAAGGTATTATGTCCATCTACAACTAAAAATATTTTTAAAAAGAGAAACCATTAAATAGAAGCAGAAACTATTAGATATCAATTTTCAGTTATAATGAACTGAGACTATATTCTCAGTTTGTAGTTATTAGGAGCTAAACTAGTTTGATATATTGTATGAAAAATTTCTTCATGACTTCCCTTCTGAACAAACACAAAGTTGCAATTGGTTACATGGCTTGAATTGTGAATTTGTTATTCGAAGTGCTTAATTAGCTTGCTGAGTTTGAGATTCTTAAAAAGAGGCCCTTGGGTCTGATGGGAATTTGTATTTCACTTTTATTTGTTGCTGGAATAAAGATAACTGCAATTTATTTAGCCTTTACTATGTACTAAGAACTTTGAGATGGATGTTATTTATTATTTTATAGATAATCTGATCCTTAGAGACATTAGTACATATAGTCTACTAACTGGTTATTCTAGATTTTTGTATCCCAGTTTCTCTGATTTTAAAACTTGAACTCTTTTTTTAAATTTTTTTTTAAATTGTAGATGGACACAATACCTTTATTTTGTTTTTTTAGGTTGTTTTTTTCTTTAATATTTATTTTTCAGTTTTTGGCAGACACAACAACTTTATTTTATTTTTATGTGGTGCTGAGGATCGAACCCAGCGCCCCGCGCATGCCAGGCGAATGCGTTACCGCTTGAGCCACATCCCAGCCCCCCTTTTTTTTTTTTTTAATGTGATGCTGAGGATTGAACCCAGTGTCTCATGCATGCTAGGCAAGTGCTCTACCACTGAGCCGCAACCCAGCCCAAAAACTTGAACTCTTTACCACCATAATATGTTATCATAGTATATTTAACTTGCTTTGGGTAGTAATTTTTTAGGAGAAAAGCATTTAAAACATTTTCCCTCTTTTTGCTGAGGTATACTGAAAGCTATTCTGAAGATGATTCAATTGTGGAAGATTACCCAGATCCACAGGTAAGCCAGACATTTAACAGGTTCACTGTGATTCTTTTTCCTTAAAATTATGAGACTTTTTAAGGGAAAAAAAATGATTAAAAAAGTGGAAAAAGAGATTTTGGACATCTTTATCAATAAATAATAAAATACGTGTTACATATTCTGTTGATGATGGATTAACCCATCCTACCAGTGTTTGTGTTTATAGTTAGTTATAAAGAGAAAAAGAAGGGAGTAGCCAGAAATAAGGGCAAACAAATAGAAAGAGAATTAATCATAAAATTGGAGCAAAGAATATATTTTCTGTCTAGGATTTACCAGTGAATGGGCTTGACTAAGGAGATATGAAGGTAATACATCAAATTAGTCATAATTTGCCTTCTGTTTTTTCCCTTGATAAATCAGTTTTTGGATATATTAACCAAGAAATGATGACACACAATTATATTTGATCCTTCTTTGAATTGATGGAATAGTAGTGACTCCCAGTGACCACCTGTTCATTTCCATACTTGGTTCTGTTATATTTTGAAAAGTAACCATGCTTATTTTATTTAATCATCAATTATGAACTGGCCCTCCATTAACTTGGAGTGGTGGTGGGTGTGCATATTTTTGAATATTAAATGCTTGTTTGTGAATCATCTTATTGTGAACACCCATTTGTTCTGACTATAAATGTCAGAAGTTGGTGAAAGCAAAATGTAGAAACCTTATTAGTATGGTTAATGGAACTTTTCATGAATACCTGAGTAAATAATGGTAAAATCATGTTTCTGCCAGTCAGCAAATCACATGAACAGTTCGCTGCTCTCTTTATATCGGAAAGGAAATCCTGATTCTGTCTCAAATACTCTGGAGGTGGAGCAAAGAGAAACTACTGCTTCAGCACCACGACTAACTAAAACAAGTTCCATTCCTTTGAAGACTCCTGCAAGAGAATCTGAGGGAGGATGGTTTATTGATACAACCCCATATGGAAAAAGAGACAGTTTTTTCTTGGACCTATCAGATAATAAAAGTAACCATAAGAAGCCAGTATCTGATATCCAGGTATTTTCACAGTGAACTTTTTAGCCCTATGTAGTTGGAATATGTTTCAGTCTTTTCATTGAATTATTAAGGAGACACTTGTGTTTTATGGGTCTTAGGAACTTTGTAATGCACGGAGTATACTTTGCACTCCTGCTGTCATTGCCCTCTTAGCCTGAGCATCTTTCTAGCCTTAATTATTGAAATAAATTCTTTGGTTATATATTGCACAGGCAACTGAAATCCATCCATTCTTGTTCCCCTTGGTTTATTCTTCACGCAGAGATACCTTCTTTGAGTTAAGTCAGGTCATTGCCACTCTTCTTTTACAACCCTTCAGTTGCTTCTTTCAAACCCAAAAATAAAGCTCTGTATTATTGGGGTGTCCTGCTGTCTCTTAATCTCATCTTCTACCATTGTCTTCCCTCACTTCCCTGCTTTACTTTGGCAACAGTGGCCTCTTGTTGTTTCTAGAGCACACTAAGTCATCTTCTGTTTGGGCATTAGCATTTGCACTTTCTATCAAAAACTTTCAGGTTTCTATGGTTCACTTCATCACTTCTTCACATCTCTTTTCTCATGTAATCTTTTTTTTTTTTTTTTAAAGAGAGAATTTTAATATTTATTTTTTAGTTTTTCGGCGGACACAACATTTGTTTGTATGTGGTGCTGAGGATCGAACCCGGGCCGCACGCATGCCAGGCGAGCGCATTACCGCTTGAGCCACATCCCCAGCCCCTCTCATGTAATCTTTGTAGAGAGGTCTTTTTTCACACAGGAGATAGCTCATTGTTAGGTACTGTTTCCTTATTTTATTTACTTACTTACTTACTAACTACCTAAAGTCAAAGTCATTTTAGCTTGTGTGATTTTTATTTTTTTAAACTCACCCTTTTGTTTTCCTTCACTAGAATGTAAGTTCCTGGAGAGCAAGGACTTTGTTTTATTTAGTACTGTGTCCCTGGCTAAATTATGTCTATCATATGATAGCCATTCAGTTTATTGAATTAATAGTGCCAAATGAACTTCCCAACATACATTTACTAGTGAGAGTTTAAAAATAAGTGCTTTGGTTATATGTTGCACAGGTGATAAATTTAGGAAGAAGGGATGATTACTGCTGAAAGAGCAATGTGGTTTATGTTCAGTTCAGTTCAGGATAACACCTTAAATCCTAATAAATAGATGTATGTGAAAATATGTAGACTAGGCAAGTGCCTTTATTTTGTTTTTGGTTTTTTTGTTTGTTCATTTTTATTTCTGTCTTAATCCATAGGCACTCTACCACTGAACTACATGTCTAGCCCTTTTTATTTTTTATTTTGAGGCAGGGTCATGCTAAGTTGCCCAGGCTGGTCTTGAACTTGAGATCCTGCTGCCTTAACCTTTTCAGTGGCTGGGATTAGAAGCATGTGCCACTGCATCTGGTAGGCAGATATCTTTTTAAAAAAAGTTTTGAAATGAAACTTAAAAAATGCATAATTATCACAAAATGAACACATTGGGTACCTTTCTTCCTTTCTTTTTTATTTATTTTTTATGTGGTTCTGAGGATTGAATCCAGTGTCTCACTTATGTGATGCAGGTGCTCTACCACTGAGCTACAACCCCAGCTCCCTTTCTTCCTTTCTTAATGATTATTTTAATGCATAGTAGAATGAGAGAGGGTTTAAAGTAACTATCCCATGATATAGTGACTGGGTGTATAAGTAGTACTAGTAGCCACATGTGGCTATTGAGCCCTTGAGGCATGACTAGTGCAAATGAGGAAGTGAATTTTTAATTTAAATGTAAATTTAAAGTTAAAATTATAGTTAATTTGGTTTTTGGGAAGTCTCTAAATATTTTTGAAACAATGTAGGTATTTCAATCTATTTTAGGGGTAAATTTTATAAAGTACAAATCAAGTGTTTCCTTTGAAAATTTAGTGTCAAAAAAGTTGAGATGTGCCATAAAAGTACACATTATATTTTGTTGCTTACTATAAAACAGAATGTAAAACATCTCATTAATAATTTTTTATGTTAAGTCTGTGTTGAAATGAGATTGTTTGGTATATACTGAGTTAAATAAAATAGATTATTGTCTGGGGGTATAGCTCAGTGATAGAGCCAGTGCTTTATGTACAAGGCCTTGGGTTCCATCCTTAGCACCAAAAAAAAAAAAAAAAAAAAAAAGAAAAAAAAGATTATTAAGTGAATTTGACATAGTTCTATTTTCCTTTATATAATTTTGAGACAGGGTCTCACTAAGTTGCCGGGGATGGCTTCAAACTTGCAATCAGTTGTCTTGCCTCAGCCTTGTGAGTCACTGGGATTACAGGCATGCACTGCCCCACCTAGCTCCATTTTCAATGTGGCTACTAAATTATACAAAATTATGTATGTGGCTTGCTTTATATTTCTCTTGGACTGTGTTGCATTAATTGGTTTCCAAACACACAGCCACTGATTTGGGGAAAACATTTCACTTTGACTTATTAATGTGCCTTTTCCAAATGTCTTCACTTTATTCATTCATGGATGAATCAGTGCTACATCATGAAGGCAGGAATGGAATTTTTGGGGAAGGTAAGAATGGCAAACATGGCTTACAAGTATAAGGAGACTCAGTGAGAATAAAAGATGATTTTAGTGTCAAAACAAGGAGCTCACAATTCAGGAACAAGTCATAGACAAATTAATCACTCAAATACAAAACTGATTATGGTAGCCTGTAATATAGTTACAAACACCATATTCTGGGAGTGTAAGGAAGAGATTAAATGTAATTAAAAGAATATGGAAAGAAGGTTTTCCAATGTTAGGATTTAAACCTATCTGTAAGGTTATGGGAAAGAAGGCCATCACCAGCAGATAGCATCCTTAAGCAGTGAGATTGGGAATCATTAACAGAAAAATACTACATCATGAAGGCAGGAATGGACTTTTTTGTGGTCCTGGGAATCAAACACAGAGCCCTGCTCATGCTAGGCAAGTGTTGTACCACCAAGCTACCACTAGCCTTAAATCCCTTCTCAATATGCATTGTGATTGAAAGTATGGCATATTTAAATTTATTTTCTCTCTAGGATTCAAAAGAGTCTTCTTTTCTGGAGAGTGATAATAAAAGGAAGGGTAGGCTAAAAGGCAAAGGAAACAAAAGAAAGAAGGAAGATCTTCAGGAAGCGGATGGAGAAATAGAAGCTGTCCTGCAAAAGAAAGGTGAAATGCGTATCCTGTGGGTAGCAGAAGTTATGTTTGCTTTGAGAGAGTCATCACTCTTCTCCCCAAGCTGTTTTGCTTAGGAGACCTTCTGTGTGCAGAAACACTTATGGGAAAATATTTGTCTAATTGACCTTTAATTATTAGTTTATATACAATCATTAATCTTTTCATCTCCTCTCTTTTTGTTTACCAGCCAAAGCCAGGGCACTAGAACTGCAGATATCCAGTGTGAAGTTTGAAGATGTTGGAGGCAATGATACTACATTAAAAGTTAGGTCAAATTCAGAATTTTACCTCAAGTGGGTATATTACTAATCACTTGTACAAACAAAGCCTGCCTCTTTGTTTCTGATATGAACTGGGAATAGAAAAGGAGATTGGGAAGGTAAGAATGGCAGACATGGCTTACACCTTTTAGGGTATTGAGAGAGAAAAGAAGCATACTATCCTTTATCTTCTCACCTTTTAAAATTAGATTGTACATAAGAGTCATGTTTTATAAATAATATTCTTTAATAGTACTAATAATTAGGTTTACTGTTTTAGTGTCTTCTCTTTTCCAGTTACTATGCTAATTTCTTTTTGTTATATCTTAGAGGTAGGTATTTTTAAAGCTTAGGAAATAGTGGCCCAAGAGGCCATTGCTAAAGTCATGCAGTATGTATCAGAGCCAGGATTCAAATGTAAAGACCTAAAACTTGTTCTCTTATCTACTGTATTTTGCTGGTCTTAAGACTATGACATTTCATTGCACTTTGATTCTTTCTGTCTTGGGCAAAAGAAGACATCTTTTGTTCTTTTTCCCTGCTAGGAGGTCTGCAAGATGCTCATTCACATGCGTCATCCAGAAGTGTACCAGCACTTGGGTGTTGTGCCCCCACGTGGAGTTCTTCTTCATGGACCACCAGGCTGTGGGAAGACATTGCTTGCACATGCAATTGCTGGGGTGAGGTTTCTGACACTCGTTTGCTTTTGCTGTTTTTGTTATTATTTGTTTTTTCCTCTTTGATAAACTTCAGCCAGGCCTGGTATCTCTTTGAAAGAGAATATGATCAATGAAAAATGATACCCCCCACTTTTTTTTTGGTGGTACTGCGTATTGAACCCAAATAATAACACAAATAAAGGTATTGTGTCCATCTACAACTAAAACTAAAATGTAAGACAGGTGAATACATTTATTGTATATGTGATAAAAGTTGGGTCGGAAGCAAATAAACCCCTTTTTTAAATATGTAATTTAGGCTTTAGTTATTTCTCCTTCACTTTAACTTGATAGTTCTTAAGAACAGTAAAATAGCCAGGTACGGTGATACATGCCTGTAATCCCAGTGGCTCAGGAGGCTGAGGCAGGAGGATCCAGAGTTCAAAGCCAGCCCCAGCAATGATGAGGCACTAAGCACCTCAGTGAGACCCTGTTTCTAAATAGAATGTACAAAAATAGGGCCCAGTCTGGATCTGTGGCTTAGCCATAGTGTACTTGCCTGACATGTGTGAGGCACTGGGTTTGATTCTCAGCACCACATATAAATAAATAAAGGTCTATCAACAACTAAAAAAATCAATATTAAAAAAAAATAGGGCTGAGGATGTGGTTCAGTGTTTGCGTGCCTCTGAGTTCAATCTCCAATAACAAAAACAAAACAAAACAAAACAAACCAGCTAAGCATAGTATTGATTTTTTTTAATAGAGGTACATTTAATTCAAAATTTCCATTGAGTCATGTTCTTATATGATTTGTAGTATTAAAATATTCTTTCTGATGGTCATGAAAGACACTTGCTTTGCAAAATAAAAGTTAGCAATCTTATTTTAGTCCTGTCAGACATTTCAGAAACTATATTGGGTAGTAAAATGCAAAATATCCAGGTAACTTCAGTTAATAGAATAGCATACTATTCTATTACATAAATTTGTTAATCATTAACAAATTTATACTTTGTGAAACAAAATCATTTTTAAAGGGGAACTTGATTGTTTGCCTCATTTTTGTTGAATATTTCTTTTGTATAATTCCTGCATGGCAGACTTTGTTATATAGTGATAAGTATCACAAATCTAGTTTTAATATGAGAGAGACATTAAAGTTATTCAGATGAATAAATGTTGTACATAGTTACAATTCTATAAAGTGGTAGAAAGAAGTGCAGAATGTTGTGTAGACCATTGGGATACCTAAGTTATAACTGGAGTCAAAGAATATATTGTTGAAGAAGTGAAATTTTCATAGCCAGAAGAAAGAGTACAAGTTAGCCAGATTTGTTGTCAATCATACTGATGGAACAACAATAGTTTTTCTTCTGTTTCTTAAAAAGTCTGCCTCTTCTGACTAGTAGTAAGTGGTTCTCTGGGTTAGCAAGTAGAGGAATGCTAGCTGAATATATGGAAAGCAACTGTGTTACAGCTCTTGCTATTTCCTGTCCAGTAGGTAAATGATAGATACAATTGTTTTGATTCAGCCCTAAGGTGGAGGGCTTGAGATTCAAGAGAGAAAAGAGTTTTATACTGACATCTGTAAAGTGAAAACAAGTAGAAAATATCTGCTTAATGTGCTTGCATAAATCCATAGATTTTTCAATAGTGTTTTTATAAGGCTCACACACAAAGATGAAGTTCCTCAGGAAAATGGCCTTTTTGAAAATGTGATTTTGATGAAGTAGAGAACATGAGGAAAAAGTTGGGAGGTTACAATGTGAATATTTGGTTATTCTGTTTTTTTGGTATCAGGGATTGAACTCAGGGGCACTTGACCACTGAACCACATCTCCAGCCCTTTGCCTTTGGTTATTCTTTTATGTGTTTGTGCACAGGAACTTGACCTGCCAATTTTGAAAGTAGCTGCTCCAGAGATTGTGTCGGGAGTTTCTGGGGAGTCCGAGCAGAAGCTCAGAGATTTATTTGAGCAAGCTGTGGTGAGTCAGCTAATGACTAACATCATTGTCAGATCTTATAAACTTATATTTAAAGATCCTGCTTTTCTGATGCTGGTACTTGTTACTCATTCACTGACTCTTATTTTATAAGCTTAGAAATTTGTTATGCGTGTTGGCTAAATATTTGAAATGGATTTAATGATATAGACTATTGGATAAAAAATCTATTTCATCTGAAATTAAATAAAGATAATTGATGGGAAGTTTTGGGCTTTCATACCCAGTAGTCATATATTGAAAATATATTATCCTTATGATATTTTCATTAACATACTTTTCCCAACTTTGGTTATACCAAACAATTACTAAGAAATATGAAAATTGTTATATTTAGAATTACTATATTATAAAAGCAGCCATAAACATGGCAGGATAAACTCCTCTCTATTTGTATATGAAAGCTCTGAAAAGAAAATTCTTTTACCAGAGAGAGAAATTTCAGATTTGATTTTTCCGAAGTGTAATTTGTGTTGTTAAAATTTGGATGATGATATTTACATCCTATTAAAGCTTTATTTTCAGATGGGATAGTAGTTATATGTCTGTTCTTTCAGTGAGGAAGATGACTTCAAGTCCTGTGCTATTAGCTATTATATGTGATATTGAACTAGAGATTTAACCACTCTACCATCTATTTATTTACTAGTAAAATAGGGTAATAATAATACCTTAATTTCATGGAGTTGTTGAGAGTATTAAATGAGAGAATTCTTCTTTGCCACTCCCTCTTTTTTTTGGTACTAAAGATTGAGCCCAGGAGTGTTTTACCACATCCCCAGCCCTTTTTATTTTGAGACAGGGTCTTTCTAAATTGCTCATAACTTTGCTAAATTGCTGAGGCTGGCTTTGAACTTGTGATCCTCCTGCTCCAGCCTCCTGAGTCACAGGGATTATAGATATAAGCCACCACTGTCCACTTGAAAATTCTTTTAAAACCTTTAATGTAATGCTTTGTGCACATACACAAGAGCCCTGTAAATATTAGACATCTATTATGTACACTGGAGCAAACATAAGTCACTGTAGCTAAAACTAAAAAGTGATGAAAGGTTTAATTTTATGTCTTTATTTATATTCAAAGTATATGATGGCTGAACATGACCAATACAACTACTAGATGCTGATGTGAAATTAGAAGAAAAATTGTATTTCAATAGTCATTGAGAAAAGTATTTTAAAATGGCAAGAATGCAGAGGCTGTTTGCTTGGTTTGTTAACTGACAATGAAAAAGGTATGGGCAGCACAAGGAAGATGCAAAGAAAGGATAGAAAGGCAGTCTGCACAGCTAATTCTTTCAGATGTCACCTGCTTTCCAAAACCTGCCTGATTCAGTTTTTGATTTGGCATGTAGAGCCAAAGGACAGTAGTAAATTGCATGTAGATTGTTGTGTTAAAAGTTTCTTTGTAAACCAGTATTGAACCAGTATGATGTCTGACAGTATGTGTTCAGAGAATGTATGGTGTAACACTATACATACCACCTTTCCCTGGTCTCCTCTTTCGTAGTGAAAGTGAGTACAATAAAGTATGTGGTTTATAGAACAGATTCAAATCACATCAGGTGGTTCTTTGCAGAAAACTATATGCTGCTTTAAAGGCTAATTCTGATGACCTTCTCATATTCTTCCTTTTCTCCCAATTTTCTAGGTCACTGGCAAATACGTATGTGTTTATTTTCTGAGAAGTTTGCTCTCTGTAACTTTACTCTTTTGTAACTGAGTAACGTTTCCAGTTGTCTTAGATGATGTTTTGCAGACATTGTCATGACAAGGATTGGGGAAGAGAGCCAGCTAGGAATGACTCTATCATGTGGTTTTGAGATGTTTTAGCCAGACTGACAGTCTGATTGAGCATAGTCAATGTTACCCTTCAGGATTAAATAATTGAGAATGATTTAGATTGAACATCTAGATATTTTTATTTAAATTTTTCATTTTAACTAATGTTTATGTCTCCTTTTTTGTGTTAAGATATACATAATAAAATTTATCATTTTAGCCGTTCTTAAGTGTACAATTCAGTAGCATGAAGTACATTTACATTTTTGTGTAAATCGTCACTAGTATCTACCTCCAGAACTTTTTCTTCTTTCCAAACTGAAACGCTGTATCTGATAAACAATAATTCCCTATTCCCCTGTTACCTGCAATTCTACAAACATTCTAACTTAGGCCTTAATGAATTTGACATTCGGTAACTAGCTTATTTCCTAACTTATTCAGTCCGAACCCTATCTGGGTGTTTTGTATGTTTGTTTGATTTTAGATTTTGGTGGTACTGGGGATTCAACCTGGGGGCACTTTACCACTGAGCTGCATCCCCAGCCTTTTTTTTTTTTTTTTTAACTCCTTAATTTAGAGACAGGGTCTCACTAAGTTACCTAAGTTGGCCTTGAATTTGATTCTTCTACTACTTTAGCCTCCCAAATAGCTGGGATTTCAGGCATGTGCCACCTGGCTCTGCTGCTTCTCAACTTCCTCTTATAGCAGATTTGAAAGAAAAGCTTGGACATTTTTATGTTGGTAGAAACATAAAACACTTAATAAAGTTGGGTTTTCTAATTTAAACCTTTTAGACTTACTGTTTATGTTTCATAGCATAGCACACATGTCTGATTTATAAAAGAATTTCAGTAAATTTAGCACAAAACATGAATTGATGAAGACTATAAATGTGCTTCCAGATCTGTAGTCATTTATTGTCCTCTTTTAAATATTGTGGTTATCTTCAGATAGATAAGTCAGAAATAACACTGTGAACTGCCTTCTTGAGGGGTGATTATTCATTTGGTGAATGGTCCTTGAACTCTAAGATTTTAAAAATTATATATAGATTCATGCCTATAATCCTGCCTATTTGGGGGCTAAAGTAGAAGGATCACAAGTTTTAGGCTAGCCTAGTCTAGTGAAACCCTGTCTCTAAATTAAAAAACAAACAAAAAAGAACTGGAATGTAACTCAGTGGTAGAGCACCCCTGAGTTTAATCCCTAGTACTACAAAACAAATAAGCCTTGGGAATATAGCTTAGTGGTAGAATGCCTCTGAATTCAATCCCCAGTACTTCAAAAAAGAAAGAAAAGATGTATGTATTTAACTATGCATCAATATGGGAAATGTATTCATAGTCATCTTTTTGTGATATTTTTATTTCTAGTCAAATGCACCCTGTATTGTTTTCATCGATGAAATTGATGCTATTACTCCCAAAAGAGAAGTTGCTTCAAAAGATATGGAACGAAGAATTGTAGCCCAGCTCCTAACCTGCATGGATGGTCAGTTTGAAATAATGAATTCATTTTAAGATAATAAATTTCTTAAAATAGTTTAAGTCATACACAAAGATAAAATATTTAAACCATAAATCTCATAGTGTAAATTAATAAATCTTTATCACAAAAGATTATAGCGTTAATTTAACTTAAAGTATATATTATCGTTATTTTTAATGTGTTTACATATATATGCTAGCATATTTTGCTTTTTATAATTCTGAGATTGCACCATAGACATTCTTCAACTTACCATTTGTTCCTTAACAGTTCATCTTAAGAAATGTTCCCATTTTAATCTTTTTTTAACTGATGCCATGATATTCTTAAGATAGATTTACTATATTGTACTTAAACATTCCCACATTAATGAATGTTTGTTTTCAATTTTTTGCAGTAAGTTAGGGAGAATATCATTAAAAGAGTCTTTTTGGTGCACATGTAGATTTCCATGATAAATACTAGAAGTAGAATTGGTAATTGAAAATTATATATTTTTAGTTTTTCATGCACATTACATTCCATAAGACTTTGCAATTTTTATTTCCACTAGCATTACATAAGAATCAACTAGAGCTTTTGAAAGTAGAGTCTGCCTACTTTGAAACAGCACATGTTTTGTGTACACAAGAAAATTTGAAGTAGTACGTTTTGTGTTCCTTGCCATTCTAGGTTGCAAGTTGCTTATTATTCTATTTTATATATATCTAAAATTTTTCTGCTGTGTTTTTGAGGTTTGTGTTCTGAGAAAAGTCCTTCATTACTTTTCTGCTAGCTAAAGAATATACTGCATAAACTCATGATTTAATTAGTATCTTACTACCTTCTTATTTCTTGTGAGGGAGAATAACCTGACTCCTTGCTGTTCAATCCTGGTTCAATTAAGAGAAATAAACTTAGGAATGATAAACTTTAAGGCCTACATTCTGTTCATCCCCGGAAATCCATGTTACTGTCCTCCCCAGACTCCCTGTGGTTAGATTGATGACCTTGCCTAAATGTACCATGCAATTTCCAACTCTGTGTTGTCACTCAAGCTTTTTCTTCTCCATAGAATTTAATTAGCATCTATCTCTGCTTTTAAATTTAACATCATATTCACCTTTGGTGTTTCCTGAAATATTACCTCTTTCACAAACCCTCCCTTATTCCTCAGTTGGAATTCACAATATCTTTTTTGTTTTACTGTGGTGTTTCATTTATACTACCAATAATTATATTTCATAAAACTTGGCTTACAGCCTGTATTCTTAATTATACACTTAATATTTCTGAATACATTATGAATTGCTAAGATACTTTTTAGATATAAGACATTTTTTATCTCTAAACTTTTTTTTAATTTAAAAAAGTTTTTTAATTATTATACATGACAGTAGAATGCATTTTGACATATTGTACACAAATAGAGCACAACTTCTCATTCCTCTGGCTGTACATGATGCAGAGTCATTCCAGTAATGTAATCATACATGTATATAGGGTAATAATGTCTGTCTCTATGAGACATTACACATTTAAGTGTGTAATACTTCATCTCTAACCATTAAATGATTTGTGTAATGTGATAGATGTCTTTGTCACCACTATTTTGTGTCTGGTTCTTATTAGATTTGAATAACGTGGCTGCTACAGCTCAAGTCCTGGTTATTGGAGCTACTAATCGACCAGATTCGTTAGACCCTGCTTTGAGACGTGCAGGAAGGTTCGACCGAGAAATATGCTTAGGTATCCCTGATGAAGCATCCAGAGAAAGGTATATTCTTATAGAATGATGTTTGTATGCCACTATGTCATCTACATATTAAATTCTTTGAAAGTAAGGGGTGAGAAATACTATGTAGCCTTATCTCTCTCTCTCTCTCTCTGTCAGTGAAATTGATTTGTTAAGAAAAAAATCTCGGGTTGAGGTTATAGCTAAGTTGGTAAAGTGCTTGCCTTACATGCACAAGGCCCTGGGTTCAATCCCCAGCACCACAAAAGAAAAGAAAAAAGAAAAAAAAAACCCACATCAAATTATGGTTAAGAATACAACGTACTGATTAATCAGTAGGATATTGTTTCAGGTTGTTTTTCAGTAGTAATGATGAATTTACATATTCATATTCATTTGTCTAGTCTTGTTAACGATGGCTTGTGTCTTTTGCTGACCAGCTTAGGGACAGTGTCTTGAGCTATGGAATAGAGCAGTGCCATCTAGTTCACATTGAGTATAGTGCTTTAACCCTTAATAGTAACCTGACTTAGACCATGGTCCCATGACAAAAAAATGAAATGGCAGCCAGAGAGTTGAATGTTGTCTGTGTTTGCTGCAGGGTCAGCCTTTCCCACTAGTTGGGGTGGAATGTCCACAGAGCAAATAGATAAATGTCCATCAATAAACAAAAATATCTCAAGAAGTACATTTGGAGTCTAGTGAAGAAATGTTCTGAAGTGTCACATTTATAATCGCTTTGCCTTAAGTTAATGACACTAAAAATTGGTGTACGTGTTACTAGGCTCTTTTAGGAAAAAGTGGTAAATAGTGAAAGAAAATGGTCATAGGAACAGTGAAGAAGGGGAAGGATGGAAGAAGTGATCAGAAAGCACTGTGGGTAGGAGAAAGGCTTGGAGGGGGCCCTGCCATCCTCCACTTCTTCCCAGTACTTGTTCGCCAAGGATTTTTTTGGCACTTTCTTCTTAAGCTGTTATATCTACATATGCTAATTGCATTCGGCCACCCTCTTGTACACACATACACTGTTTAAACAGTTAATCAGCCACTTGGCTTTGTTTACTAACATGTTTATTATATCTGAGGCAAAATAATATTTAATATTTAAGTTGCTCATATTTATTCAGTAAACATGTATAAAGGTATAGTAAGTCTATATACTACCTTGGCAAGTATTGTGCGTATATAAAGAGTTTTAAGTCCTTGCTTTCAAGGTGCTTACAACACAGTGAGAGAAATAAGGAGCTTGTAAGAAGCCTTTTGTTTATCGGTGGATGTCTGTTTGATATTTGCTCTATCAACATTCAATTCCAGTTCCTAGGAAAAACAATTCCTTGTAGACAATGGGATGTATAAAGAGGAATTTCTTTTTAGAGTAGTAAAAACTTGAGTATATTGAAATGTTGATTGGAAGGAGCAGATGGGAGGCTTGGGGATTCAGTGCTTGTACATTCTATTGGCCTTACAAAAGGGAAGAAGGAAGGATATGAAATACGTAGGTTTATCAATATTGTACTGGAAAACTGAGGGTGTTTCCTCTGAGTTAAAAGAGTGATATTGTCTGATGAAGGAAAGATACATAGTGGATGAGTTAGAAGTTTGCAGAGTATAAAGATCTGAGTAGCCAGGCATGGTGGCGCATGCCTATAATCCTAGCATCTCGGTAGTCTGAGGCAGGAGGATTGTAAATTCAAAGCCAATCTCGGTAATTTAGAGAGGCCCCAAGCAACTTAGTGAGACCCTGTCTCAAAATAAAAATAAAAATAATTGCGTGTAGCTCAATGATTAAGCGCCCCTGAATTCAATCCCTGGTACCAAAAAAAAAGATCTGAAATTATTTTTGGAAAATTGAGATTAGTTGACTAGAATAATGATAAGATTGCCTGGCCTTGTTCAGGATTGAAGTATAGAATGGTACCAGTAGGCAGATTTATGATTTTTCTTTACCTGTGATGCTGAACAATCTAGGTCCAGGCAAGGAGAAATAGAGATTTAGGGTTTAGATTAAAAAAAAGAAGAAGAAGAAGAAGAAAAGAAAAGATTGTGGACTCCAAACTGTAAAAATAGTATTTGATGAGGCTGTAAACCAAAGAACCTTGTGAGGTCCAAGAACAGGTGAGTGGGAGTAATGGAGCACATAAGCTAGAGGGTAGGGACTACTCTGGACAGACTAAGGTATTTTAAATAGTGATTGTAGGGGTTAGCCAGATCCAGGTGATGATAAGGTTGAGGTGTAACTGAGAGTAAATGAAGTGGGAAATAGTGGTCTGGGCATAACTGAGTGGAGTGTCGGTGAGTAGGTGCCAGGACTTTGAGTCAGTGCTGGAAGTTATCCCAGCTCTGCCTCATGGTATCTTTGGTCTAGCTATTAAACATTTCTAAGCTTTAGTTTATTTATTTGTATTACAGTAATAATAATTTATCTGTAAGATGGTAATAATACCTTAGCTTAAAGGTTTCTTATGAGTATAGAATTAATGTAACCTCGCACATCTTTTTTTTTTTGGCAGATCCTGGGAATTGAACTCAGGCCCTCACATATAGTAAGCAAGCACTTTACCACTGAACTTCACCTTCAGGCCTAGAAAAAATGTTTAAGGGCGCTGTTAATATTTTTCTGAACTTTCTTTAGTGTGGGGAACGGGTACGAAAGAGGCACTTTACCACTATGCTGCATCCCCAGCCCCCCTCCCCCCACTTTTTCCCCCCCTTAATTTTATTTTAAAACAGGTTCTCACTGTGTTGCTTAGGGTTTTGCTGAGCCTGGCCTCAAACTTGTGATCTTCCTGCCTCAGCCTTCAGAGTTGCTTGGATTATAGGCCTGTGCCACCACATCTGGCTTTTTCTTCTGAACTTTAAAAGCATTTTTATTATGGAAAATTTTCAGTGCACATAAAAGGAGATTCATATAATTGTTCTAGTTTCTTTTTTTTTTGGTACCCAGGATTGAACCCAGGGCTGCTTAACCACTGAGCCACATCCCCAGTCCTTTTTTTGTATTTTACTTAGAGACACTGAGTTGCTTAATGCCTTACTAAGTTGCTGAGGCTGGCTTTGAATTCATTATTCTCCTGCCTCAGTTTCTTGTGCCTCTGGGATTATAGGTGTGTGCCACATACCCAGCCTAGTTGTTATTGTTCCAAAATAAACTATTCCAAAACTTAATGGCTTAAAATAATAGTCATTTCATTGTATTTCATAATTTCTGTATGTCAAGAATTTTAAAAAGCCTCAGTCAGAGGCTTATTCTGTCTTTGGTATTATATGGTTCTGGTAGTTAGAGATAGAATATTGGGGTATCAGAGCCATGGTTTTATATTCATTGATCTATCTACCTATTTATTCAACCCATTTTTTATCTGTGTACCTATCTAATTGCTCCCCCTACCCCCTTCTTCTTCTTTTTTAGAAAAAGAAGGCTTATTGCTCTTCTAGTAAAGGAGAAAAATAGGGAACTCCTGTCCCAGAGACTGTGATTCTCTCCTTTTTTTTTCTTGTCAATTTAGGGCTTCTCATGCCTAATTTGGGCTTCCTAACAGCCAGGTATTCTCAGTGTGGTAGGGTGATTACATGACAGCTTGGGGCTATAGTTTGAGGGTTTCATTGACTAGGCCAAAGTGGCATTGCTTTTTTAAACCTAGCCTTAGAAATCATATACCATCACTTCCACCATATTAGATGGTTGATTAGTCACTAAAGTCAGCCCAAATTCAAGGGGAAGATACACAGACCCTCTGTCATAATAAAATGTGGATCAACATTTTTTTTATTAGTGGACATGCTTTAAAAAACCATTACAATAATGAAACCCCCATGTATTTACTATCCAATTTCAACAATTAACATTTTTACAGTCTTTATGAACTATAAGAAGAATCAAAATGAACAAGAAGATCCAGACTTAAGTATTTTCTGTGCCAGACTTGGTATTAGACATAGTTCTTAAGGGTATTGGTTCCTTTTAATAGGAAGTGGTACTTTGGAGGGGGGGGGTGTATGTTTTGTTTTGTGTTTGAAGTGGTACTTTGTAATCATAATCTGGGCACTAGGGATGCTTGTTACTTTGAACTTAGTCATTTTTTGTACACCATTCAGTGAATGAGGTAGGAAACACACATTCATAGAAGTGTTAAAAAATATGTGTGAAATGTGTATATATTTAATAAAATACAAGAGGAGTTTATACTGATTCTTTCAATTCTTGTTCAGGACTTCCAGATTTTTATTTAATTCATTGATCTTCTGATGCATCTTTTTGTAGTTTTGTGAGTATATTTTTGGAATAGATTCTTAAAGCAAAATTAATGAGTCAAAGACAGATGTATATGTAATTTTGGTAGATAGCACTTTATTTCCCAATAGGTTTGTGCCATTTTTATTTATTTATTTTTTTAAGTGGTACTGGGTATTGAAGCCGGGGCGCTTTACCACAGAACAACATCTCCAGCTCTTTTAATTTTTAATTTTGTGAAAGAATCACCAAGTTGCTGAGGTTGGTCTTGGACTTGTCAACCTCTGGTTTCAGCCTCCCTAGTTGTTGGGATTATAGGTGTGCACTATGAACCTGGCCATCTTTACATTTCCACTATTATTGACTATTACTGAACAGGATTGTCTGTTTTTCCAGTCTTATAGTATACTGTTTGATCTTTAATTGTTTTCTTTCTTTCTTTTATTTTTGGACTGGATATTTAACACAGGGCAATTTTTCACTGAGCTGCATCCTCAGCTATTTTTTAAAAATTTTGAGAAAGGGTCTCATTTAATTATCTAGGACCTCACTAAATTGCTGACCTGGCCTTGAACTTAGAATCCTTCTATCTCAGCCTCCAGAGCTGCTGGTGTGTGCCACTATGCCTGGTTTTGTTTTTACAATAGAATTAGTACTTTCTCCCTTTCTATTTTACTTACCATTTTATTTATAGAAGAAACAGGTCCTTATTCTATAGAATTTCCTACTTTCTGGATTTGGCTTATTGTATCCTTTTTTTTTTAAATATTTTTTTATACCTTTATTTTACTTATTTATTTTTATGTGGTTC